GGGGTGCCACCCCACCTGCCCCCGCCGGCCGAGCGCGCAGACACCGCTGCCGCTGTTCTCCCTCCAGCCGGGCCGGGTGCTGCTCTCTCCCCGTGGAAATGGAAACGGCCCCACAGCGGTCACCCTTCTCCTGGGGGTGACCCCGGGTGACACCCGGCTCCTGTGCCAGCTCTGCTGTGTCCGTCTGTGGGCACCGCGCCTCGCCCGCCATTCCCTCAGGAYAGTTCTCCCTGCACACGGCATCGRGCGAAAGAGGAAAACCCTCAGCCGTGCCGAGAAATGCCGTTCCACATCACTTCTTTTATTTATTTATTTRTTTTCTTTAAAATAATTCTCCTTTTTAAGCCAGGTGGTTGCATCTGGCTCAGTTTCTGGTGGAAGCCCTCAAAGCTTTTTTCACTGAGTCCAGGAGGGAGAAGCGAAGGGCTCGYTCAGGCTGTCAAGGCTTCCCTCAGTAAATAAGTTTGTGAGAATTTCTGATTTTGGAAATTTGCCTTCCAGTGCTGATACTAATCGAGCATGACTCATTCATTAGTAACCTCTTTTTTTTTGTTGTTGTTGTTGTTCCMTTACTCGGGAGGTTGATGAGCCTACATTGAAATAAACCCAAGGAAACTCGCAGGAACTCGGAATGCTTACTGGAATAAAACATAGAAATGTGTGCTGCTGCAGCAAAGAAAAAAAAAAATTAAAAAATGTCCACATCTTGCCGTGGACAGATCAATAGCWACCAGCAGGCAGATTTACAGTTCCCACAGGCTGTGAACCTCTCGGATTTTCRTCCCACACGGGATGAAAATGAGCAAAATGCCCTTTGTTTCTATTTTTAGCACCTGCATTCCCAACCCGGTGTAAGGAGAGGCCCGACCTAAGGAATTGTCTCAATGTCACCTGGCACAATCACTTAAAAAATGTTTTCACTGCAGAAGGGAGGGGTAAGAATGTCCCTGTGATCCATGAAAATGCGGGTTATTCGCATTTCACAGCGCTTGTTTTCACCAAGACTCAAAAGCACCGAGACTGGTTTGGGAAAGAGCATTTGGGAAACATCCTGAGCTTCCTGTCCTCTGTGCCCTTAAATATTGGGTGCTAAAAGGAAACCTGCTGCAAATCTCTTGGGGCTGCTCTAAAACCCTCGCTCAGGAGCCTGGAGGAAACATCCCCCTCCCCAGAGCATTGGGAGAGACATTGCATCTTTCAGCCCTCTTCAAATATTTATATGTGTACTTCACGTTTGAGTAAAGCTGTCCTTTTCCTCAAAGCAGGAAGATTACAGTAAAGGGAGGAATTCCCTAAACTGGCAAACATCTTTGTCCATTAAGTAACAGGAGGGTTTGAGAGGAGAATTCGGTGTCTGGCAGCCAGGAGCTCGGCTCCACTGCACAGGAGATTTCATAATCATGTGTTTTGAGATCAACTGGGGAAAAAAAAACAAAAAACCAAACAACAAACAAAACCCAAAAATCAACTAGAACAGTATCTCGTAACAATGGGTGCTAGGGAGCCTGGAAAAACACACTGAAGATTAAAAGGTTGGTGAAATGGGAGAAATGGTGAAATGGTTGGTACCTTTGGGGGAAAGAGATTTCTGCCTCCTCCCAATCCCACACCCAGGCCCTGCCTGCTCTGTCGTCACAGCTGCTCACGGGGCTGCCTTTGGAAACCTTCACCAGGGACGTGTTTTAATCCAAAAAGCAGATGTACCCTAAAACCCCCAGGGATGGTGAGGCTGGGGCTCATTTTCCAGCCCTGCTCTCCCAAGGAGGCCACTCAACCTTCCTTGGGTCCAAATCTGTGCATCAGATTTGGGAAAAATCCGAAGAAAATCCCTAAACACACAGGGGAAATCCCTAAATCCAGGGATGTTTCTTGTCTGGAGCTGCCAATGAACAGGTCCTGGATGGGGCAGGACACCAGGGATCACTTCTAAACACAAATCTCTCCTGGATGGCTGCTTGTGCTCAGGTGAAACCAAGGGAGGCCTGAAAAATGGGTGATTAAAGTTCTTCTGCAGTTTGCTTCCATGGAAGAAAAAGCAGGATTTTCTTGTT